TACTAGGTCACATTTAGAGGAACTGCAAGGAATAACTCAGAAGCCTGTGGCTTGAGTGACCTTATGGGATACTAGGATTTCAGCTCACTAGCTCATACCTCATGCCTCACTGCAGTTGCAGAGAAAGTGCAAAAAGGTGTTGGGGCTCCACATTCTCTGTAGAATTTGGATTTGGGAAAAAAGCACCCTTACTTTATATCTCACTGGGTCACCTGTGTAGCATTGAGGCCTGGAAGGGCTCCTGCTCACATCCCACAAAATTCTCTTCTTGATCCTCTACATTGCTTAACTGAATTGAAAGAAATAATTTTGTGTTCTGATAGAAATTCTGATAATAGATTTTTTTTTTAAAGGATCCCATAGCACAGAGTAGTAGGTACACCTGTAACCCCAATTACTCAGGAAACCAAAGCTGAAGGCTTTCAGGTTCAAGGCTTGTGTTATGTAGGGCGTTCAAGGCCAGTGTGGGTACAAAGAGAGTGCTGACTCTGAAGAGAGGTAAGACGGCTGGAGGAAGGACAGCCCACCAGTCAGAGGTACAGGTCACTTCAGGCAAACAGCTGGGAGCAACAAGCAGGGGAGGGTCTGGCAGCAGCAACAATTCTGCAGCTCTGTGCTGACTGAGGCCCTCAGCTAGTTCCTGGTTTCTAGGAAGGCTAGTTTCACACTGTCCCTAGGTTTCAATCTGAATCTAGAGTGACAAAGAATAAAAGACCAAAACTGATTGTAGTTGATTTACCTTGTCTCAGGAGCTGCCCACAGGACGCCTCCCTGGTTCCGGGTTCCATCTTTTCAATTATATAAGCTCTCACATACCCACATGGTAAATGTTTTTCTGCTGAGGTTAAACAGACTTTAATCCCTTTGAAGAGAGAGGTGTTTTTCCCTTTTCCTTTAATAAGGGTAAAATACATATATTTTACCGTAAAATGTCATATTAGTCATTTAGGTGTACAGGTCAGCCATGAGAAGAGCATTCCTCTTGTGTGCAGCCAACCTCAAGACTCCTTTCATCTTGTAAAACTGAAATTCCTGTACCCATTAAGCAACTCTCCAGGTCTCACCTCCTACAGTCCCTTGGTAACCACTGCTCCACTGTGTGCTTCCATGGACAACCCTAGCTGCCTGATGTAAGTGGCATCTTACAGTATGTCCCTTTTGTGATCGGTTTATTTCACCTAGTAAAATGCTCTTAAGGGTCATCCATGCTACTACACGTGTCAGAATCCCCTTCCTTTTGAAGATTAAATAATAATAATGATAATAACAATAATGCCCCATTGAATGTACATAATACCTTGTGCTCATTCTTTCATCTACTCATGATCATAGGTTGTTCCCATCTTTAGGCAACAGTCAATAATGATGCTATGAACATGAATATGCAAGTACCTCCTAGAGATTCTGATTTTAATTCCTCTGAGTGCATCCCTGGATTTATCATTGTCTTAGGAAACTTCATGCTGTTTATAGTGCCTTTACCATTTTACGGTTCGTTTTCACCATGTTCTTGCCAGCAATTGTTATTTTGTGTTTTGAACAGTACCCATCCTACATCCTAATGGTGTGAGGTACTTCTGTACATTTTAAACATGTACATTCCATGAACATTTACAAAAACAATGGAAAATTAAATACTACTAACCCAAGTCTCTCGGAGAAGTGCGTGTTAATTACCTCAACTCTCCTCCAGGGCTCTTGAGCTCAGTGTTTCCTCTCACATTTTCCCTTCTCCTGTCTTCACTCCTCCCATTAACAATCCTTTTAAGCCTAAGGAGAATGAAGAGATACAGTTCACTGTGCTTGCTTTCATCTTTGCTTTCTTTTATGAGTCTCATTTCAAAAAAAGGCTTAGATCATTATATGCTATCTGCCAAGAAGTTGCAGACAGGATAGTCAAGGCTCTTATTAAGGAAGTTGCTAGGCTTTTTCAGAAGCATGGGTATTATTGCATCTGATTTAAGATAACTTGAATTTCTTAAAACCCGGAAGCCAGTCATTGGCACTCATTTTCAAACTCTTCCCATCAGTGACTCGATTGCCTCATTGTCACCTGGGCACATTTGCATCTTGCGTAGCCTCACTGTGGATAGGAACACATTTCTTCAGCTTTTGAATTCCCTTTGGGGATTTTCTTCAGCTGTGCCTGAACTAAGAGGTCTAAGACACCAAATGTCCCTGGCCGACTGTCCAGGACAGACGTCACCCAGCCTGTGCCAGTTGGGGTACCCTGAACAAAGCTGCCTGCCTGCTAAGGTGAAGATTAAGTGGAGCAAAGGTTATGCACATTTTCAGCATATTGGCATAAGAAGTTAAAAGAATAACTAATTCTATTTATTAAGAAATAAGATCATGGATGCAGCTATTTGAAAATAAATTAAGGATGCAATTTTTGAGTGTGTTCTCTTGCTTTTTTAATTTTTGAGGGCTTTCAAAAATTATATTGTAATAAACTTCAAGAACTCTAATTCATATCATGTTACAACAGTTAATAACATTATAGTATAGACTTGAAAATTACTTGTAAAATTTCAATGATCTGATCATAAAGTATATGATATAATACTTATGTTAGTTTGATTTGGTCATTCTTAATGTATTCTTATATTACAATGTGTCACATGTCATCAATATCTACAACATTTATTTTTCAGCTAAAGAAAAACAACTAGATTGCCTGTTTTGTGAATTGAAAGATGAGCTTGATTTATTTCAAACTCATGTATTGTTTTCAAGAAACATTTCTAGACCTGGAAATGAATGCAACTCAGTGGGAGAGCACATGGTTAATAAGCAGGAAGCCCTGAGGTCAGTCCTTATCACATAAAACATAGGAACCAGGGCAAGAATAAGAAAAACATCCTCTTGTGAAGGAAACTTCCACCTCAATTATTGGGTTAGCCTACAGTGGATCTCTTCTATATTATAAAGCTTTTCTATAAGCATAGTATTTGTATATGTCTGTGTATATGAACTTGTGTATGTGCATACACACACACACACACACACACACACACTCTCTCACAGATCCACATGTTCTGTTCTTTTAACACTTCCAGAGAAAATTATGAAGTGCCTTGCATGTTTAGAACCTTTTACCAAATATTTTCTCAAACTTATTGACTTGTTATTTATTGATTTGTTGCACCAGGAGATTGAAACCATGGCTTTGGATATACTATGCACACACTCTACCATTAAGCTACACCTTCAGTGCTCTTATTTTGATCTTCACACATACAGTCATCCAATGCAGTAGCAGAAGTCACAGGACCATTATCCTACTTTCACGGATGAAGTTCTCACAGATATATGACTTTCATTCAATGTCAAAACCAATAAAACTAGAGCCAGAACTCAAACACATGCCCTTGGATTCCAAGTTCTATACTGCTACATACCTTCATACAAGTATATATAAGTATGCTTGTAAACTTTCTATTAAAAAGGCCATAATAAACTCCAGATTTTCATTCCTATACTGTAAATATTTAAAAATGAATCATGAAGGTGCTTCATGAAGCTGACACTGTGGCTAAGAATTAGATGAAAAAAAGGAGGCCAGATAGATTTGCACTCAGTCTTCAGAACTTATCAGACCTCTGAGTTCATCCAGCACTTGGATAAGCCACCCCAAAACAAATTGGAATTCTATTTAAGATGCAAAATGAAATTCATAATTGTTTCTCCAGGAGAGGTTTTCTCTCTAGAACCACTCTGCATGTTCCAGCTCAGCAATACATGTGTCCCCAAAACAATTATATGCATGAAAATTAAAATGCCTCACTTGTACTAATGGAAACAGAGGACACCCTATATTTTCAACAATATTTAAATTATTAAAGAAACTTTATAGTAGTTCAAACTGCTGAATGATTACCTTGAAGAATTTGTAGCAATATGCACTTATTTATTTACTGTCACCAGTAAAGAAACTCAAACTGTTCTGATAATACCTTGTTGAGAAAGGATATTTTGAATATTGACAAAAATTTGGAAGAAACCTAGGAGGGGCTGGAGAGAGGGCTCAGCAGTTAAGAGCACTTGCTGTCTTGCAAAAGACCTGGATTTGTTTCCCAGCACCCACATCAGGAGTCTCCTAACCGCCTATAACTTCAGTTACAGAAAACCCCATGCCCAATTCTGGCCCCTTTGGGTACCAGGCATACATATGGTACATAAATAAATGAGTAAATATATCTTAAAAGGAACAGGAAAGCTGGGTGTTGTGACACACACCTTTAATCCCAGCACTCAGGAGACAGAAGCAGGTGGATCTCTGTGAGCTCAAGGCCAGCCTGGAGCCTGGTCTACATAGTAGAACAGCTGGACTACAGGGAGACCCTGTCTCAAAAAGACCGAAGCGGGGGGGGGAAAGGAACAGAAAAATTGAAGGGCATTTCTTTCCTTACAAATTAACTGTGTCTGTGTTATAAGCAAAAATAAGGGTTAGGGATATAGCTCAGTGTCCCTGAGTTTGATCCCCAGAAACACAAACACAGAGAGAGAGAGAGAGAGAGAGAGAGAGAGAGAGGAGAGAGAGAGACAGAGACAGAGACAGACAGACAGAGACAGACAGAGACAGAGACAGAGAGAGACAGAGATAGAGACAGAGAGACAGAGAGACAGAGAGAAACAGGGAGAGAAACAGAGAGACAGAGCTAGAAACAGCATAAAGTTCCCTGTAACAAACATTGCTTAGAGCTGTAGGCTGGTCACTGACCCAATGACAATGAGTGCTGTGGACACAGAGTGACCCCTGGGCTGGGAAGTGGGTCCTGTGGATCTTGACTTTGTACCACATGCAGGAAGTTCACCACAAGGAGCAGAACTCATTGCTGGCTAAGGCCTATCACTGTGTCATCTCGAAAACCAGATAAGCACGCTTACATTCCATGAATCTATTAGGGCATCAGGGTCTCAAACATCATATCTTTAAATCATTTGGATCCCAGAGGGAACTAAAATTGCATGAGAAAGGAAAACATCACACAGGGGAGTCATCATTTTTGGAAGTCTTTATTTTTTTTAGTTGCTCCTCCCACAGTAATGCACTGAAAGGCATAACAGTTTATATTGTACAAAGCATTGGAAGAAAGTACCTCAACTTACTGATTATTTCAAAATGAGATTACAAACAAAAAGAAAACAAATCTGGTTCCTCAATAAAGGGCAAAATAACTGAAGACAGTCTGCTATTTACTTCTCTCTTTTAAACAGAAGTTGGGAACACTTCATTTTACAAATAGGATTAACATGAACAGAACATCATCGCACAAGCTTGCAGACGACCAGCATAAAATATGGGGGACAGTTTTTAATCAGAAGAATCATGCTTTCATGAAGAAATTATAATCGTTTATACAATTGAATCAATTTCAGTATTACAAAAACTAAGTTGCATCTATTCGTATTTAGTTCATTAAAAAAGGAAAACAAAACAACAAACAACAACAATGAAAAAGAAGGAATGTTAAGAAAAGCCAAACACCATTGGGCACTCCCATACACAGGTCAGGTCACCTTGGTCCTTAAAATTCAGAAAGGGGTGTGCCTTAGACATCATAAAATAGTGGCCAACAGGAACAGTGCTGTTTTTAATCAACAAACAATAGTTTGCCAACAAATAAATACATGATACACACAACACACAAAAAATTTAAACATTAAAAAACAGTGACATGATTGTCTAAAATTAAGATGTTATTACAAGGATTTGGCAAACATTGTATTAGTGGTACAGCGGTACTGGTGATGAACAGGTTACTTCACTGACTTAACCTCTCTGAGCATGAGCATCCATAGTTTACAATATACACATACCCTTTTTTCCCTAGTTTTAAACAATGTACTTAAGAAGGCAAAAGGTAAAGGGAACAAGTACTCCTGCTATCACGCTATAATTGTGCATTTCCTCCAACTACTTCCGTCTTCAAAGGGTTAAATTACATAAAACTTTAACAAAGGAAAAAAACTCAAATCTGTAATTAAAAGCAACTGTTCCCAGTCACATCGGTTCTATGGAGTGTTCATATCAATGCTGCCATCTCAACTGCCCCTTTCACCCACCCACACCCTAGGGCAGGGTGAGCTGGAAGATACCCTCCCCCAGTGAGGTTTTCATTTTCCTTGAATCATTTTGGTTAAATTGATCCTCCAGAAGTCAGCAGCTGCCTTTGCTGTGCAAAACAAAATATCGAGAATAAATAGCTTCCTTTTTTCTTTCTTTTTCTTTAATCATTCAGTTTAAGGTCACCAGACTTTAAATGAGTGACCCTTCAGGTTTATAAGGCATTCTGCTCAGCAGTCTTGTAAATAGTCCTGTATGAAAGAGCCATGCTATCATTGGACTTGGTCCCACTCTGGTCAACCTTGATAATGTCATACATGGCTTATGGACTGGATGGCGCTGGATTCCGCTGCAGCCCTTGCCATGCTGTGCCACACATTGGAGGAACTGTGGGATGTGGAATGGAGGGAATCCTTGTCAGACAGTGACAACATCATAGCATATGCCTGGGGTGAAAAGAAGAATTTCAGTAAATTGCATTTGAAAAGAAAGCAATTTTAATTGGAAGACTATAGTCAATGAATGTTGGAAAGACATGAGACCTTGAGTAGAAACATCCTTCATGGCACATTGATAGAAAGTGCATATAATTTTTTTATTAAAATGACATGGGGTTGGTATTCACTTTCAGGGCCTAGGTGCCACAAATTTCTGGAAAACATCAAAAAAGCAAAAAATATTTATCATCTGACCTAAAATACTAAATGTTTCCATTGAGTACCATGAGCTATCCCCCAAGCTTTAGCATGAGTGAATTCATCTATTTTATATGTGTTCAATTCACCAAAACAGTGTTGCATGGTTATAAGTGCAACTGCAAATGCCCAAGGGGTAAAGACCAGCTCTAAGGAGCTATGATCTTGGAAGAGATGGTCTGACTCTTGCAGTTTGTAACTGAGACCCCAGAAGGTAAAGTAATCACCCCAAGGTCACAACTAGACAAAACTAAGACCAATTTCTGCCCAACTTTGAATCCAGTGTCCTCTCTTTAGTTTCCATTGTACTTCATATACCCACTGCAGACACCCAACAGCCTTGATAGTGAGACAGATCTAATCTGTTCAATCAAGAAATGAAACAAAGGGTGAGACCCTACAATGTCCTCAGTCACGCATGCTCCAGAGTCAGCTGAGTGGGAGGGTGCAGAGGTGCGCAGTCAGGAGGGTCCTCTCTTCCCTGTGATTATGCCAAACTCGAAATAACTCTTCAGAGAGCCCCTACCCTGTGCCAAGTCAAATATTCAAATGAAATGTTTGGTCTTGACTTGTGAATGAACTTTTCACTGTTGACTGGCTATTGTTGGTCTCATCCATTGCTAAACTTGCTTGACAAATGCTGTTGAAGTGGAATCATTAAAGTCCTGCCAAAGACATTCCAGTGTCTATAAACAAAGAGAAATGCCTCTGTTGTTCAGAAAATTTCATCTCAAGGAGTCGTGCTGAGACATGTGGCCAGCCTGTGGTTTCTTCCTTCACAGTGGCATTTGGTTAGAAAATCTGCCCTTACACGCTGATTTTGATTTGCTGGGTCACTGCTCTCAATATATACATTTAGCTTCAATATATACATTTAGCTTCAATATATACACATTTGGCTTCTCTGTTCATGTGTGCGTGCACATGTACGTGTGTGTACGCACACTGGGAAGGGGTACATGTGTGTAGAGGCCGGAGGACAATATTGGATATTGTTCTTCAGGCACATGAACCTCATTTTTTAAGACAAGGTCTCTCACTGGCCTGGAACTCACCAAGCACACTAGGCTTGCTGGCCACTGAGCTCCAGGGATCCGCCTGTCTCTGTTCCCCAGTGCTGGGATTACAAGTGTGTATCACCATACTTTGCTTTATACTGCATGGGTTCTGGAGTTCAAACTCAGGTCCTCATACATACACAGCAAACCCTTCAGCGACCAAGTCATCTCCCCGATCCTCCATTTGATTTTTAGATATGCAATTTGCCTTCTGGGTCTGCACAAAAATTTTAGTGTCCATTCAACATATATTTTTAAGCATGAACTCTGTACTAGGTACTGGTAGGTCCCAGAGAATCAAAAACAAGTAATACAGAGTTCTGGTCCTTTGCAGTGACTTTGGGGAAGTCATCTTATCTCCTGAGTTTTAGTTTCCTCATACAAAATGAAGATGCACTTAAAAAATAATAGCACTTGGGACTGGAGAGGTGGCTCAGTGGTTAAGAGCATTCACTGCTCTTGCAGAGGACCCGGGTTCGATTCCCAGCACCCACATGGTGGCTACGAACCATCCTTAACTCCAGTAGTCCCAGGGGAATCCGACACCCTCTTCTGACCTCCACGGCACTGCACCTGTGTAGCACGGGTGTACTCACATACATGCAGGCAATACACTCATACACAATAGTAATAATAACAATAGCACTTGTCTTCAGGGGTTGAAGAGGAATCATAGATACTACCTAAACTGTTCACCTCAGTGTGCTTCATGAAAATAATACCTACTAGGAAATTAGTTTTTGCAGAATTGTTTTTTTCCAATAATAATGATGACGATGATGATGATGATGATGATGATGATGATGATGATAATTCCATGGTAAAGAAAAGCCACTATTTTACTGGTCAATGATTTTGGATTCAATCACCATGAAAATTAGAGTTAATATATAAATGTTTGAGTAAAGTACTTGAAACTTCAGATTATAAAACAATGACAGAGGGATAGTATGGGGTCCTTTGGTAATCAGAAGGCAGCTGAAACACAGGGATCAGTGAGTGCCCGGTACCTCAGTACATCAGTGATAGCTGATAAACCACAAAATGAATGAAAAAGCAAAGTGAATGAATGGAGTACATAAAATCAATTTGCACAAAAGCCTCCACATTTGCAAACTGTTATCTATCCATCCATATATATCTATATATGTACATATATATGTATGTATGTTTGAGAATACACTTATGTGCATTATTATAAATAATATATAAATGTATTCTTGAACATGCATATATATACATATTACATAGAAGCAAAAAATATGAGTTACTGTTTTAAAATTCCAGTATTTGTTGTGATGTGCATTGCTAGCCCAGCCAGGCAGGAACTTCTCTAAATACTGGTGCTGAGATAGGCAGGCGCATGGCTACCATCTCACTATTCCCAGGCCTTTTGGCTTCCTTTAACACCTAAGTTTCTGAAATTTCTAGGCATTGTGGATCATATAATATTTGAGATGAAATAACTAACAGAAATCTTAAAAATAAAACATGCAAACAGCAGGGATCTCTGATCAGCTAGGAAAAAACAGTGAGAAAAAAAGAGATTGAAAACAGTAACCACTTCTTACAGATAGATTTAAGGGAAATGAGATGTTTACTCTGGTTGCTTTAATTCTAATAATAAAAGTCAAAAGTTCATCTTTAGCCGTAGTAATTCATAGAATGGAGATGTTTCCCCACTGTCTCTGACAATGAAGAAAGGGTACCCATCCATTGTCATTACATGATGTCAGCTTGACCTATACAGTAGAAGCCATGTATCAAGGCTTATGCCTTTATTCAATTCAGAAAGAAAATTAGTTTTATCTATTGCCATGTATAATCTCTTAGATTTTATTGAAAGATAGCAAAAGATTTTTGTTATCCTACTGATCTAAAGTGTCTCACACCTTAGTTGAGATACCAACACATCGGCTATTATGACCAGCCCAAAACATCTCAGTCAAATAGGAAATCATTTCTAAATGTATATGCTAATGTGGTCCCATTGTTTAAAATCTCAGACCACTTACAAAATGTTCAGAATGGATGAAACAAACTAATGAGATCAAGAAAGACCATAATATGAAGTTTCTTACTGGTTTTTAAATTGGCCTAAATGATCAATCAGTTGAGTACATATATCAAAAAGAAAATACTCTTTTAGGCCTTTACAAAATAACTGATGCTCTTTTAATTGATGTATATGAATCATTAATTTGAGTCATTTTCAATGGCCATGGTGCTGATAGATTATATGGAGTCACATGAATCTGATGACCGTTTATTCTCTCAGTAAAAACTGATAGGCTTTATTTCAAGATCTTGTCACTGAGCTGGTGGTACAGATCTTTGGCAGCTCATTTCATTCCCAATCTTCAATTTATTCCTAACCCTTATAATCTGATGGATTCCTGATTAATTGTGCATAAAAATTCACTAGATACAGTAAAGGAAAAATATCCCCAAAAAACTTCTGTGTTAATAACTGTTAAAGATTCAAAAAATCAGAAAATCATTCTGAGGTAGCCTGAGTATTTGAAAATAAATCTTGTGGACTATCTATACAGAAGTTTAAAAAGTGCAAAACAAATTTGGGGAAATGCAAAGCAATGTTAGGCTTGTCACAGAGGTTTCTATACAGAATGCAGCTTTCCAAGTTAATTGGCTGCATTGCTTAACTTTGGAGTTTGGTCATCTACAGAACAAAAACAGGAACACTGTGGAGAAAGTATCCACATCTGCGTGGATTCCAGATTATTGCAAAGTGACAATACCTGCATTTTGTAAACCAAAGAAATGTACGCTTGCATGCACAATGTCCCCATAATGCTATGCTGCAGCAAAATATGTACCTGCGATTTAGACTTTCTGTGTAAGGGCTGTTTAAGTTCCTCTGGCACATGGGAAGAGCTAAAAGAAGGCAGCTCAGCTTCAGTGTACTGAGCATCTTCCGTTTTCCTCACTTTGAGGCTATCTGTGAAATGCCTTATGTGATCCAGAGCAGACAGTCCCGATGTGTAATCTTCCTCTTTATACCTAAAATGAACCAATAGGAAAGCACAAAAATGTTGTTTTTCTTTTACACTTTGTTTTTTGTCTCATCAAAGCACTTTCATTTGAATCTAAACAGCTGTTAAACTGCACACTGTATTTGTTGTGTAAAGAGGCATGCACTAATTGCTAGTTTCTGCAAAAGATTTACAAATGTCACATCTTGAAATATATTACTTTTAATATTTCAACTTTTAATGGCTCAAGCCAAGCATATATTTGAGGAAAAATGACGTTAAGTCAGCAACACATGGGTACAGAAGTCATACACTTAAAACTTTAAGTGAAGTTACTTACAAAAGCATTCAGTCAAGATAGCCTATCACAAAAATATAATATTCCCATTAATTTTAACTTCCTTGCTAATTTTTCCATTTAAAATCTATCATCTATGAAATTCATCTTAAAAACATTTGAGTGATGATCACAGTAGATCACTGAATGGATTAGATTATATTAAAATCTCTGTTTTCCTTTCCTTTATAAGCAGAATTAAAAATTAAGTGGTCACTGACCTGTGTCACCTCCACTTATCCTCTCTGTCTCAGGGTCACCAGAGTTTCAGAAACACTAACGTATTCTACATGCTGGTGGATCGTGTTCCTGGCCATCTGATTTTCTACTGTGTGAAATCGATGCACAGTGTATGCTTTCCCAGTTCAAATTTAACTCACAAATACTGCTCATCACCTAACAGGTTGTTCTAATAGATCAGAGCAGGTGGAATTTCACCATGCATAGTTCTACTGATGCACAGCTTGTGAAGTCACGAAGTACTCACCTTACCGGGGATGTCTTACAACTCATCTCCAAGGCACCGGCTTCTTCATAGTCGTCCTCAGGAATGCCTTCATCTAAATTACTTGTCCCTGGCTCCTTTCTGGGTTTTCCTGGCACATCATTGTCTTCATCATCCTCATCTAATAACACCTCGTCTTCTGCTTCCTCATCATCCAGTAAATCTGAATTTTGGCTGGTCACCAGAGCCTTTTCATCTTTAAAGTGACTGCCATTCATTCTTTCAAAAGCAGAAGAATAAAAGGTTCAATCATTGGTTTAATTTTTAAACACGCAGTTAGTTTTCTTATCATCTCCCTGACAATAGCTTATATATTCAACACTTACAAAGGAAATTTGTATTCTGTGTGCTTTAGAGCAACCTTGGGAAAATAATGCAATTTTGCAAAGAAGCAACAAAGAAAAAAAATAATTGGATGATTGCTCAGACTGAAAATGGAGCCTCTGGCAGAACTGAAAAAACAGTCTGAGACTCTGACTTCTTATCGTGACTGATAAATGATATTGTTATTGTTATATGTGATGTAAAAGCACACAAATGTTTTCTCTGTACAAAGTACCTAATTACCATTTAACTACTCACCATTTAAAATCATTGATTTCTGGAAAACTTATCTCCCTGAGCAATGCTGACAAGAACTTCAACTCATACACACAAAGTGAACTAAGAATTCAAAGAAATGGGAATGCAGCTGTCAAGGCCAGTTGGCATGGACTGTTTCTAGGTGAGAGTGGTGATGGCTCCATTGGGATACCCTTCCCGAGCTTACATGTGACTGAAAAGGCACTTATCTGGACTATTTCTAAATGATCCTTAATAGTTTAAAGATAAAAGAGTTCTTTGTTTCCCAGGAAAACACTGAGATGGCAAATGAACTAGAAATCAGTTGTACTAATGTCTTTTGAATTTTACTTAGCAAGCAAACCCAATAATGTAAAAGAATATTTCATTTTAAAAAGTCCTCTGTTGCTGGTGGTGCATACCTTCAACCCCAGCACTAGTGATGCAGAGGCAGTTGGATCTCTGTGAGTTTGAGGTTTGCCTAGTCTATATAACATGGTCCAGCCCAGTGAGGCTGGGTATGGTGGCACAGGCCTTTAATCCCAGCACACAGGAGGCAAAGGCAGGTGAGGCCAGCCTGACTGGAAGATCCTGTGTCATAAAAACAACAGATGTATTTTCTAGTATATTTTTTTACATATGCAGGAATTGCAAAAAATGATTCAGGAATAATTATAAAACTAGACATTAATTACATAAGAATTCCATTTATGAAGATAGGAAAAAACCTCTGAGGCTTTCAAATGATAATCAGCATAAGCATAATTTGGATTTAAGCTGTACTATATGATTTAAAAATTGAGTTACACATAGTATAATTATGAATGCTTTCAACCAGAGAACATCTTTTGGGGCCATTTCTCTTTAAAGATCTATGACCAGAGAAGTTTACCAAATTCAGAAAGTGTGTTAGCAACTGCAATATTGTAGGGATCCGGGTGTCCTGATTCCTAGGCAGTTGTTAATCCACCCATTTTACCAAGTTTCTTCATCTAGTATGGGTTCAGAAACCCAGAGAAATGTAAATCATACTTTCTATCATGTACACTTCCACAGGTAATTACTACTTTTCAGATCATGGAAGATCAGCTATTGGTCATGCATCCCCGACAGTGTCACACATAAAAATGCATAGAACGTAATATTTAGATTTCCCAGAATAAAATGAATACAATCCTGGCTATGACAGAGGCACATAGTAAAAATGCATTTGACCAGAAAAACTAACGTCATTATTGAACATTTTACACAACCAATTTCTTGACTTCTTTTATCAAAGAATAATGAAAACATATTTTTCACAGACATAAATTATTAGTTTCCAGATACACTGCCAACTCGTGAGTTTGAATGGACTAAAACTGTTATTTTTTTGAAATGAAAGTAAAAGAACAAAAGAGTTCGTGGATGAAAACCAAAAGCAACAAAAGCCAACATAATTAAGAAAATCTATTTGTTAATTTTGCTTTCAAATGTGGTAATTTATAGGAGTAAATTATTCATCAGAAGTAGCCTGATAGGTGTAGAGTGGGGAAAGTTAGGCAACTCAACCTTCTTCCTTGTGTTTAGACATGTTGAAGCCAGATGTTGTAGCTATGCAGACTCACAAATCTCCAAGTGAGAGCTGTAAAATTTGAATAGACTTCTCAGGAACCAAAATGTTGTCTTTTTTCAATAGTCCTTACTTGTATTATATAAATGTTATCAAACTGTAATGCATATAATACAGTGTGTGTTACCTGCTCCATTTTGTACTTCTGAGCAATGGTCTCATCTTTCTCACACACAGATATACACAGGCAAACCATGCACACAAAGATGCACACAGAGGGAAAGATACATTAAACTGTGCAATGTTCCAGGTCTTGCAACTTCTGAGATGCCTAAAAGGATCTTTCTTTCCCCTTTTCCTTAGCTATGCTTATATAAAATTAAGAATAAGAGTGGTCATACTTTCTTGTTATTTTGATTAACATGTTAATATTATTTGAAGCATGCTTTCATGGAGAACTATCTAAGATAATTAGCTTGGCTTTTACCAGCATCAGAAACAGGACAGTAACCCAATAGCACTTCTTTAGTTAGAAGTAACGGAATCTTCAATAACTAAATTCATGTTACTTTAAAATACACAATGCAGTTCCTCTGATTTGAGTCACAGAATAGGTCTGTTCAGAGAAGTATAATTCTCAATACCAGATATTAGTAATAAAGATAAGAAAACAGAGATTTTAAAAAACTTTAGGTAAAATAATATTTCAATAGCTTCACAGACAAGGTTAAATGCAAAGTGAGCCTGAGGGATTATCAATAACATTGGCATCTCTCTTAATATTAAACTTGATGCTGATGATAACACCAGCTCGCTCAAAAGAACAGCCAAGTCCACTGAAGCAAATTTACCAGTCTATTTGAGAGGACATGGGGAGTAAGCAGCTTAATTGAAAGGTTCTCAAATAGCTTCTATGTAAAACATATTGAACTACTCAGTGTATGTTTCACATGCAAATACATACTGATATATAAATATATAGACCGATGGCAAAGGCAGAGAGAGAGACACAAAAGAAATGAGTCATGGATTGTCTGTTAATACATATATACAGTAGTAACCACTAATGGCCAGTGATTCAGTTGAATCTTTGTAGTTGGTTTCCATCCTGCTTTTGAAATGTTGACAAAACATTTTATTTAGCTGTCAAGAGAAAGAGAATTTCATGGTAGTAAAATGGGTTTCAAACCCAAATAGCCCAGGTTGAAGCTCATCAATTAATTATGTGGCTTCTGGCAAGCCAGTAACTTTTGATGTGTTCATGCCTTTGCTGATAAAGTTGCAAATGGTTTCTCACAAAGACACTGTGAAATGCTCATTTAAATGAACAGAGTTTCGGAGAAGGAAGTAAATACTTGCTGCCCAAACAAGAAGAGCAGAGTTGGGCTCCCCAAAGCCCAGGTAAACCCTGCATAGATATGGTGGCTCATTTAGAATGCCAGCCTCAGAAGGCCAAGACAAAGGCCAGAGCAAGCTGCCTAGCAAAACTAGCTGTATCAGTGAGCTCTGCATTGAATGAGAGAGCCTATCTCAAAGAAGGAGGTTGAAGAAGATTTCTGACATCAATCTTGGGCCTCTACAGTACATGCACCCATGTACATGAGCCGCCACAGACAACAAACACATGTATACGTACCACATACACAGACATAGGATAAAGAAAAAAATTACCTGCCATGGATAAAATATTATGTATCTATTTGCTATACATTAAATGAATCTCAGCCACTGGTGCCAGGAATAATGTTGTGCTATATAAGTGAGCACAGCAAATTTATGTAAAGCATATATATTCATTTACAACGACCCAGAGTTTTAAAACTACAAACTGGGCTTACCTCTCATCCATGTTCCTAGGAGATTGGCTACCATGGTTGCTGTTTCCAATGAAATTTCGGATCTCTGTAAAGTAAGCATCTTCTTTGTCATCCAGGATTGCACCTGTGCTTTCTAGCTCAGAATGAGGCGATGATGTTGCTGTACCTGAGAAGACAAAGCCTTTGAGATCAAGATTACTTTTTACCTGGAAACTTGTTTAGAACTTTGTTCCTTATGAATCTGAGCAGCACTGTTTCTTAAACCATGCCCTTTTCAATATAGATACTAAAAACTACAGGAGGTTAGTACCTTCCAACTTACAGTAATATGCACACCCACAAAAGGCCCTTGGTAGTATTCTGAACCACTAATAACAAGAATTATAATCTACCAAGGTAGCTGTTTCTCTCAGTAATTTTACCTTATCTTTCTGGAATATGGGACTATTTTTATTCATATAATGAAGGGATATGTAATAAATTATAGAAAGCATAAATATATAGAGCCCATATTTAACATATATAAATAATATATATACCTACATATATATTTATATTCTCCCATAAGAGACTCACCAATTAAAACCTTTATCATTGCTGTGCAAAGGTATGCAACAAAGTAAAGGTTGAAACCATGTTGAATATTTTGCATCCTGATCTGTTGTGCTAAGCTGTGAACAGACTCAGAACCAGCCCAAATGCTGGTGGAGCCTGAAGAAGACAATAAGTGTACCTGCCCATTAGAGGATGATCTCAGCTTCCTTACAAAATTAGAATCATGATGCCTGTTTCTCAGGACTGCTGTGTGGGTTTACATAAATTGGCACTACTGTAAGTACCTTACATGTGGTCAAGCCTTACATCAACACTGGCTTCATGCCATTTATCTTTCCCCACAATGTATTTACAATTTAGTAGTTCATCATAAATCTCCATATGATGAAAACAAGTGGTTAGTACTTTTCCCTTAGCTTAAACATGATAATCTGATTAAAAGATAAGCATTCAATTTTGACAAGTATTTTTTCAATGTTGGGAATTGAACCCAGGGTCCAATGCTTGCCAAGCAAGTACTATAAGACGAAGCAACATCCTTAGCCCCCAACAAGTTACATTTTTTATCATTATTTTTAATTTTTAATAACTACATGATTAGAAGAAGCATTTCATTACAGCTTTAACATATTCAGTAACACACTCCAGAGCAAGAGTACATCTCTTTCACAAGTGCCTGTAAGTTTCTAGGTTCACAGTTGAATTAATACAGTTATACAATATTGAACTCAGTATAAGCCCTGTAAGACATAAAATTAAATGAGTTTTTAACCTTTAAAAAAGATCTCCATTTCATTTGAGAATACATTGTTCCTTGCTGAAAGACTCATTGTTTTTGCTACTAACACTGAGATGTTGGTGCATGCATCTCTAAACGGATTGCTGCTAGATGAGGAACAGCTGACCTTCCTAAAACAAAGACCTCTAGATAAGCTGACTAGATTCACCAGATGGACAAGTAGTGGGGAATGCCTGAGGGTGTCGACAATACAGCGGACAGGAGCAGTGATGACAGAGTATAAGGGCTCTAGTGCAGGGAGGGAGGCTATGGGAGGGTGCCACCTGGGAAGTGTGTGTATAGTTGAACAACATGGTTTGGGATGTTCTGTATGATACACATACACACCCCCAAAAAAAATCAACAAATTTTTTAAAATGTATTATATTTGAGGAGGAAGCATGGAATTTTATGTCATGTTAATTAGTAGAGGTGCTAACATTACCATCGAAACGAGTTACATTTTTAACGTTCTACTTTTCATGAACTATCACTGGCTAGGAATTTACAATCGTATGCAAGAAGACACACAAAGCATATTTGGCCTGTTTTGTGCATCGAGTTAGACTTTTGAGCCTAAAATCTAATACTTTAAAGCCATCATTATTAGGATTTTTTTTTACTTTCAGGAAGATAGTTATATTTTGCTACCATTCAAGAACATTCACAATGTTCCTTACAGTGGCTAAAGACTAATAAAACAATTTACTCAGGAAATAACGATTTGCCTATAAAACTCATTTATTTCTTCCTTTTCTGAAAACATCATTTCCAGAATTCCCTACTTTCTTCTCCTAACTCAGTTCCTTGAATCTTCAAAAAATTTCACAGGCTGGTTCTGTACATAAAGGCAGCAGACAGATACTAGTTATTTACTGATTATCCAACTTAAAAAGTCAGAGAGAAGATCTATAATCTCTTCTAAATTCATGCAGGCAACTTAGACATCAGGGACAGCTAGGGTGTTTTTCCAGTTACTTTTGATTTTAGATTAGAATTTGTGACAAAAATCAGCTGCTCTACCATTTGTATGTTGCTCTAACCATGGCGACAGTCTTCCATCCCTAGTCTTAAATGAAAGTGATTCTTGAGAAGTTCTCTGAACAGCAGGCCTTCAGGAAAAGCAAGTATGGTTTCTAGATTCACAGTCAGAAATTTGGTAATACTTAGAAGACACATTCTGTGTGGATAGATGGAAAGCACACTCCCTTGAATTCAGGAAATCTTGATTCCTCTGAGTCTGCAGTGACTGAGCCATGGTTACCTTTGCTTGAGATTGCCTAATGAGACAAATCCAGCTGAATGGAAGTGCAACCTAAATAAGGCCACAGAGTCACACATGGCATCAATGCCTGCTTCAATCACATAGTTCTAAAAGCTCAAGGGCCCTGGATGTGAACTTGAACAGTACAATCTGATCTTGGTATGAAAATGGGAGGAAGGACAAAAAAAATCACAATTATATTTCACGATATAAAACATGAGTGATCTTTCCCTCACACCACCATCTTTGACTCACCAGACATATTCCCATTCTCATGTTTCTTCAGGTGTCTGTCTAGATTGGTTTGTTGACCAAAACACCTGTCACACAAGTGACACTTAAATGGCTTCTCTTTATTGTGTATATTACGAACATGTCGCTGCAAGTTTGAGGATATGCTGAATGATCGATCACAGTATTTGCATCTGAAGAGTAAACACAGAGAAAGTATTTCAAAGTACATTAAATGGCATTTCTCAAGACTTATGGACCAGATATCTAAAAGCATCCATAAACCAACATTTTTAAGTCCATTGCATAAGAGGGGGTGGAAAGACTGTAAGAGGCAAGGTTGGTACATGAACATAAGAAAACAGACTCTTCTAGGCCTCTGGGAACTCGTTCATATGAACTTGCAGCAGTGGTGACAGCCAAGAATGCATGCAAAATCAATCAGACAAAAACCCAGCAGAGAAATACGGAAATGGTCAGGAGGCCCCAAACTTAGTCAAACTATTGGCAACTGATTACTACTTGTGAGGGAAGTTGATCTTCCTCAAGGGAGTGACTCTAGATAGGTTGACTAGAGAGACTCCAGTAGATGATCTTGCACCAAGGGACATCTGGGTATGCAAACTTGACTCAGTAGACCTTGACATATATGACAGAATGCATAAAATCTGGTGGGGGAGAGATTTAGGGGAGTGTGAATGGGGGAGGGAGTCTAAATATGATTAAGATTTATTATATGAAATGCACAAAAATTCAAAAAAATATACCCCTGAAGGCTAACTCTCATAGCTTGGGAGCACTACTCAAGATGCTGAGAGAACATCAATCATTGGTCCAACCCCAGCTTCCAGGCCTAATAACCACATCAATGACCAGCACAGCAAATGAGATTGTTGCAATAGTGGCACTTTTATCTAGGGGGGTAATCAACAGCTCCCTAATTGGACTTAAAGCTCACTACTCAATAGAAGGAAACTCATGTGAGGTACTATAAACATAAGCCAAATACACATGGCTGGAAAGGTCATAGGTCTTAGAGAAAACCCCAAGGCTTTCACATCCCTAGAAAAATGTAATTTCTTACTATGTGAAAAATATGAATCCTTATATTTACAGAAAAGTATCCCAATCATCACTCATCAAAGATGCATCTTTTGCAATGGGCAGAGACTACTGTAGAGATTTACATCTGGTCACACACAGACATTGTCTGTGAATTGCCTAAGCCTAAATGGCACATCTACAATGCAACCTCTATACCTAAGGCTCATGGAACATAGAATAAGGGGTAAAGAGGACACTAACGCATCTCTCAGGTCTCATGAATGAAGCTCCTTCATGCAACAGAGGAATCAGGAAAACAAAAGGTCACAAATGGTCAAAGGGTAGAGAGTAAGAGTTATCAGAATGTGGATCCTTGGATCAGATTCCTATATTAAACTCCACCCACCCAGAGTTCAGCGACCACTGCAGAAAAGGGGGCAGAAAGATTGTAAGAGCCAGAGAGGAGGTATATGACTATATGGAAATAGAGTCCTATAAGCTCCTGAGACCTTATTCATATGAGCCTACAGCAATGGTGTCAGCATGCACAAGACCTATACAAACTCAAGCAGACAAAAACCCCAGCGCAGAACTGTGGAAATGGACATCAGGCCCCAATCCTAGCTGAAGAATTGTTGGCAGCTGATTACTGCTGGCTGAAGAAGAGCTGATCTTCTTATTTGGAGATAGTCTAAATAGGCTGACTGCAGCCCAGTGGATGAACTTGCACTGAGGGACATCTGGGGACTCTAACCTGACATGATAGGCCTTAACACAAATGACAGAATGAATTCCAGTGGCGGGGACTACAGGAGGGTGCCAGTGGGGATGGGATATAAAAATGATTAAGATTGACTGAGATGTCCTGTATGAAATATACAAAAATTCAATAAAAAATTACAACAAAAAAGCCACAGGAAAAAAACTATTCACTAACTTTGTGACCAGAATTGATCTCAGCCATTCTTCCATGTGTGAAGGGCACTTTCCCCACTTCTGAACTCTGACTACAGCTCAAGTGCTCTCCATCCAAATTATCCCGTTCCACTGGAGGCACTTGAACTCCTACTGATGCCCTCGTGTGATGCCAGAAATCCAGTCAGTTCAGTGGGCAAAATCAATCTGTTACTAGTTACTTTGGCATAGTGTCAATAAATCAACTAAAGAGTCTTCATTAAAAATAAAAAAAAAACTCCTGCATCATGTGGTCCCTCAAAATTTCTGACTTATAATATTAATAAAAAGAGACTGGCTATCTACATTAACAGCAGGTGTACTATGTATCTTGGAAAAAGTATGGAATCGGCTTTCCCTGCAATGACTTCCTTGTCAAGGCACAGAGCAGTGAGAAGCACAATTGTGTTGGGCTACACAGAAGAAACCTTGGAGGCACTGCCAGAGAAAATGTGCACTCTCGTCAAACACTGTCTAACAGGTTTCACTCATAACACTTCCTACGTGAACCGTGTGGGAGAAAGATACAGACTTCAACATGCTTCCAACTTTCTGCTTTTGTGCAAATGAGCTTTTCCAAACACAGTAGGTAGCAATAAGGATGTTTTGATCAACGATCAGCTCTTATTTTGCATCGCTTTCCTCCTAAGGTTTAGGCTAGAAAGGTGAGTCATATAAATTTTAAAAACCATTCCATTCCATTCCAATCAATTGGTAGTTGGACAAAAGAGAGCTCAAATCAAGCATAGGTTTTAAAAACTTCTCTAAAACATACACATACAATCATCGGCCTTCCTAGTTACACGAAGGTAGAGGAGTCTACTAAGCTTTTAAGTCATGGGATTAGATAAAAGCCCCAAAGTGCAAAGACCACTCAGGGTACAAGAATTCATAGAAAGCAATTAATATTTACAGATCTGTTTTCTTTCTCTATTTGTAAAACTGAAGTGAAAGTTGTTGTTTAGTATATTCAGCTATGCCAAATGCTTCTATGTTTTTTAAATTATTTATTTAATAACCACATGATTAGAAAAAGCATTTCATTATAGCATTAACATATTCAATAACAATTTCCAGAGCAAAGATCTGGAAATCTTTCAATATTGGCTGTAAATTTTTAGGTTCACGGTTGAATTAATACAGTTATACAATATTGAACTCAGTATAAACCCTATAAGACATAGGTGGAACTAATCTTCTTGGCTGTCTAACAGCCGTACTTTGAGGCCTTTACTAACTTGCTCAAAGGGACATAAAGGACAGTTTTTGCTCCTTGCCCTCCTAGTTCGACTAAGCTCCAGGGGACTATGAGCATCTCTCAAAATACCCTGTAACTGTAATGCATCACCTGTCCTCTTGATGAAGGAGGCCATGGAGACCCCACCAGATGGAATTGAACCAGTGTCCAGTCTACAAAGAGGAGGGTCAACACAGAGGAAACATTTCCTCCACACTTCCAAGTGAAGCCAACCACAGTAGGACCTTTAACTTATCTTCACATAGATGGAACTGGTAAAAGAAAGGAGCCAGGGCTCATCCCAAGGCCATGTGACCTCTGAGGAACAGATCCTCAAACAACTTTAAGAATAAAAATAAATTGGTTTATCTGGGCCAACTGTATGGTCTTAAATACCCAGAAGGAAAATATAACCAAAGATTAAAGGGATCAATATAATTCTTTAAGGGTCCATGTGTATATCTACAACAAGAAACAATGCCAGGCAGGAGATACCTTCCTTTGAGTTGGTGGCCAGATGGCCCAAGAGACTCCCAGACGGTAACCCAGCATAGAACTGGGAAAATAAACAGCAGAACCCAATCTTATCTAAAGGAATATTGGCAACTGATTGCTGCTAGATGAAGAAGAGCTGATCTTCCTAAAACAAGGATCTCTAGATAGGCTGACTAGATCCAGCAGATGGACAAGCACTGGAGAACGGATGGGGGCGCCGACAACACAATGGACAGTAACAGGGATGACAGAGTATATGGGATCCAGTGGCTGTGGGGGGGACTATGGGAGGGTGCCATTTGGGATGTGGGTATATAGATGAATAAGATTTTTTTGTGATGTTCTGTATAAAATACACACAAAAATCAACAACTTTTTAAAATGAGTTATATTTGAGGAAGAAGCATAAAAATTTGCTCCACGGTAATTAGTAGAGGCGAAACACATTGCCACTGAAATCTACCCAATGATTTTTGTATCCATGCTCAGGTGGATCTCAGAAAGTAACCGACTGTGACTAGTAATAACCAGACACATAGAGACTAGAGACATGTGCAAACATCTAGTTAGTAGCATTAAAAATGAGTTTTTCTATATGAAACAGTATATTTTAAAATTAAATGGAGATCTTTTTAAAAGTTAAAACCAAATTCTTGTATATTTTTAAACACATGTACAGTAACACTGCCATTTATGAAGTAGAATAGGACAACTGCACTCAGGAACGAAGTTAAAAGGAGCATGTCATGTACATACACTGGAACCTTCAGCCATAACAAAATGTGAATGTAGAAACCTATCTATTTTAGCCGAATTCCTGGGAAATGCAATATTATCCAAGGGGGAAATTACCTAAAACTTCCCATGAGTTTATCTCTTGAAGACCTGTTATATCAAATGCATTCTGTCATGTATGAAGTGGAAGTGACATTTATGACTCGCAATTTGTAAAACATGCAGGACAAAAAGGAACTTAAGAAAACACTGATTTTCTAAGTTAAATTCCTTCTAATTTTCTCACAAAACTTCAATTATCTTTAAATAAACACAGGTCTGCCTGCTTTCTCATTCTCTTTTTTTAAAGATTTATTTGTACTGTTAAAAGTGTGTGTGTGTGTGTGTGTGTGTGTGTGTGTGTGTGAGATGGAGGCCAGAGGTGTCAAATCCCCTGGAGCTGCAGCTACAGATGTTTGTGAGCTGCCCAGCCTGGGAGCCAGGACTTGAACTCAGATCCTGTGCAGGAGCCCTACTTGTTCTTAACCTCTGAACCGTCTTTCTAGCCCTTTTTGTATGTTTTAAAACAGTAACTTTGAAACCAGGTAATTTATTATTGTAGTGAAAAATGTTACTGTTCATCGTCGAACAATTTTACCAATAATTATTGCATAAGAATTTCTAAGGAAAATCAAACTATAATATTGACTAAGATAAATTCTATTCACAGTTGGAAAAATACTAATTTGGATAATAATATTGTGTGCAAAGCATTGCACTTTAAATGATGCAAATTGCAATTTTAAACTGGGAAGGCCAATGTTGCTCATTTTTTGCTTAATATTATTAAGTAATGATATTAAAGTTAGATATATACCATGTATCAGCTAATTTTGATGTTTAACATAATAAACAGAAGGTACTTAAGGAAATTGTTGATAGGAGTGTCTCTTTTCCTACAATACTCTCTTTATCTGTTGTATCTCTAAGTCTATATTTCTTTCCTCATTCATTTAAGTTTCAGATATTTTTTCTTAAACCTCCTGTTGGGATCTGTGGATGCTGAAATAATTGTATTAAGAAAACACGTATATTTGGTATGCCAACTACTAGCTGAGATTCACGGCTTGGATAAGGGAAACTGAAGTGTTGGGATTTTTGTAAATTAAAGTAATACTGGTTTTAAAAGAAGAATGAATACTAAAGTAACAAATAGTAATTTTTTAAATTGCTAAAATCTTTTAAACATTTTTTCACTACTAGAAAGTATATTAGAACTTTCAAACTGGAAAGTAAGATAGCTCATTTGAAGAAATAGAGACTCTCCTAATTTTCATCCTAGAAACTGGGCAGTTCTACCTTGACTCAAAAGTAAATAGACACACATTTAAATATTCACAAAAGTAGATTCTTACTAAATTGTGACCTAGTCAATATTGGCTTTATAATATTTACAGAGATACTTAGAAAAAAAACATTGTCAAACCTGTAAGGCTGCTCTCCTGTGTGGGTCCTCAAGTGCCGTGTTAGGTTCGCAGACCTTGGAAAAATCTTGCCACAGTATCTGTTATGAAAAGATGTTTATAAGAGGAAGTCAGCACAGCCGACTCTATTTCACTGCAGTCACAGAGCAGTCACACGCTTAGTCTTGTCTTAATTAATCTTGCATGGAACTTGCATGTCTTTGGCATTTAAAATTTGCAACAAAGCCTTTCTAAAGATATAAATAACTACAAATAAAGACTGGGTTATGAGATCTGGTTGAATTTGTTCATGCATAAGAGAAGTTTATGAAAATAGGCTTTAGCCTTGATGACCCCCATACGCCTCTTTTGTTAACTCCCTATCTTTACACTGACACGAGTGAACCAGACAACAAACAACAACAACAAAATGACCAGAGTTTGTGATTATGGGTTGATATAAACACATTTCAAATGTTTCAACTCATTTTACATGTCAGACACAGTGACAACTCCTGGTACAGTGAGTGGCATCAGATCAGACAAGATCCTAAAACTTCATTCATCAGGGTTTGTACCCACAAATGGTTTTCCAGAAAAACAGCCACAATTTATCCAAAGAGGAGCTAAATTGATACAGTTGAGTCAGCACAATTTTCTGAAAACAATTGCAAAATCATTAAGCATAATTTATTATAAAACAGAACATAGCATAAAAGAAGTTTCATTCTTTCACTGATAAGTGCTGAGAAATTTTTAAACTAGTTTTCCTCGTCTTTGGACCTTATTTACCCTTTGTGAATGGGCTTATTCCAATTCAATGCCATAACAGTTAATAAATGCATGCTTGAAGACAGTAGTATTTTATTTCTGGATGAAAATAATTAACTGTGAAAGAATATTTATAATTATCAAAGTGAGACATGCAGATGGTATTTGGACTGCATCCAGCCTCATTTATCACAACCAAATGGTCTGTGTTAAAATTCTTGTTTAATAATAAATTTTTTAAACCACTATTTTCATATCTCACTAAATAAAGAACACTTTGAAGTACCTGAAATCTATCATGGTTGTTATTAATCATCCAATCAAGAATAATTTCCAAAACAAACAACAGAGTCTTTTGAAATCAAAGGAGAGATTTTTAAAGCCAGCAGTAATTAGCTTTGCAGTTACCTGCAGGTATAACGCTCTTTCCCCTTCCGCAGCAGGTTTTCCGGCAGGGCGTTGGGAGGTGCTCTGAAGTTGAACATGGAGGGCACCGACTGCAAAAGCTCGCTGGCCTCAGGCTTCAAAGCACTGAAGCTTTCTAACTTCTCTGCCATGTTTTCAATAGCTGACATCTGAAAGGTAAAAACACAGGACCATGAGGGGTCTTTTCTTCAGTAATAATCTTTGGCAATCCAAGAATATGACTAAAAAGAAAGCACCAAATCTTCTAAATGTATAGATTTGGAAAGAAATTGATAGGGTTTCAATGCTGAACAAACAAGGAGATAATTAATGGATCTGGGACATAAAATTAGGGAAACTTCTTCCAGAAAACCTTGGTTAAGCCATTTCATAATATCCAAAAGAGAAAATGAACCAAATTAGATTTTACTTAATTGACAGCATTATGCTATGGATATCAATGGTACCCTGGAAATTGTACAGAAAGGTGCTATAGGCTAGGAGTAGGTCATTAAAATCCATGGTGTTTCATGAGAACCCACAGCAAGAAAAACAAAACAAAACAAAACAAGTGTCCAAAGAGTACAGTGTGTAATCTAGAAAGAAAAGGATCAAATGTGTAAGAAGCATATTGCCCTAAGGGCCATTTAAATTGCTACCTTGATAATCCAAAAATTTAAGGGAGCATATACAAGAAATTTCGATGTAATGTTAATGTTTAGTCTGAGAAAATGTTTAGTTGAAATGACAGTTTGTCATATCTTAAGATAGTTTTGTAGAGCATAATTTGATATGCATATAATGATACACAGTAGAGACTCACATACACGTACTCTCAGGGAAATATTGAAGAAAAATCTACCTTTCTTAATACTAACAATCTCATACATTTTGCTTATAATCTTCAAGTCCTTGTCCACCTACTTACATATTTGCAAGCAGCAAAATTAGAGGGTAGCATGCCCTTTCAATTTAGATTGATTCTTAAGTCCATGTTTAGACAGACTCTTCCTTCTCCTTTAACTTCCCCAAAGTTTTGTTTCTTCAGTGCTCACATTTTTTATTGAATTTTTGTGTATATCATAGAGAACATCTCAAACAATCGTAATCATCTTTATACCCCTGACCCCACCAGCACCCTCTCATAGCCCCCCTCACTGGAGCCTATTATATTGTCACCCCCATCAAGTCCCACTCTGTCAAGTCGGTGTCCCCAGATGTTCCCCAGTGCAAATCCATCCACTGAGGTCTAGTCGGCCTATCTGGAGTCCTTTGTTTTAGGAAGATCAGCTCTTGTTCAACTAGCAGCAATCTTACTTGGAAACTATTCACTGCCAAATTTTATATAGATGCAACCAACTCTCAGGCCATCTTCTTAAATGAATTAGTTGCCCATTTATGCTTCTCAGAGCAGTACACCTATTAAAATACCTATTAAAATGGCTTTCTATGCATCCTGCATATGTCTCAAAGGGCTATAGTGATAGATATCAGAATCTAAATGATAAGAACTGCAAATTCAAAAAACTGGTCTTCCCCAGAGGCTAATGTTTTTGCTGATGAGCCATCAGTACAGAGATAGAGATCTAATTTACAAGCTCAAGTCAAAAATAAAATTAAACATGTATACATAAAAAGGAAAATTAACAAACTGTGAATTTTTGGACTTATATCTGGACATAATACGAGGAACTTAGTAAGCTAAAGCAAAAACCTTAGCCAAATGGCTTAGACATGATTCCTTCGCACTGCTGGAATGCTTGATTCTTCGAATGACTACACGTGTTCTCGTTAGCTCTTTCTTTCCTCTTTATCCTGGAACCTGCCCTTTCATTTCATGCCTGGACTCTTAATGCTAGCTAAAAATTGCAACGTGCAGAGTCCCACTGCCAATTTGCCAAATGTCTTTCATCAAATACAGTGAAAAAAAAAAAGTCTCAGAGGAAAGTCAAGATACATTTACTTGTCAGACGACAAATGTGAATGCATTGGGAGGCAGTAAGGGCTTTAAGCTCAAGGGTTTGATTCATAATCACTCAGCTGCTAAAACATTCTCCACAGATGTGAGTGGACAGCACATTTGTCACTATGAAGGATTTTGACACATACTGATCATAGGGCAAAGATATGGAATGATGATCCTACTCAGAGAGGTTGGAGGAGGTTCTGCAGAGAAGGGTCATTAGCCCCTTCAAGGCACGGAGCTAGCATGATCACATTATTTATTTAAAATAAAATCAATTCAGAAATAGTTTATGACACTATTTCATTTGCATTTATTCCTTCTAATTGTTCCTAGCAGAAAATCATTTTGGTAATTTATCCACCATGGAGTAAATCGTCTGAGTGAAAAATGTCAGGCCCTCAAGCTGATTAGCAATAACAAGCAAAGTGAAGGGTCACAATCATCTCAAGCATTTATAGGTCAGAAAAGTAGGTGGATGGGCGAGAGTTAAAAATGTGTCACTTACGTATTTTAAGATCAGGGTCATATTTCATTATCAAGTGATTTTGAATAATTTGAAAGTCCATCTTGCTCACACACTCAGATTCCCATTCCTGCAGCAATGAATCTATAGAAACCCTTTTCCTTTTATATGGAAAGCAGCCTAGTTATGACAATTATTACTCTCAGCTTTCATCTCCAGCACACATAAACTACAAGTCCTTCAAGTTATTTGAGAGCAATTGGCTGTTGAGAAACGTGTCTTGCTTTAGTAGTTGCTAATGGCTGGGTCCTTTTGAAGAAAGATCAGTGTGCTTACTTTACCTCAAACTGTTTCAATTTGGGAAATTCATCAAGAAATGAGAAACTATATTATGGACTCAATGGTCACATAATGATACCCTTAAAGATAGTAGGAAAAAGAACAGATGTTATCCAAGTGCCTCTCTTACAAGCCACACCCAACTTTGGATTCTGGGAGCAAATGTAAAGATTCTGGTAGCAAACAGAGATGGAGAAAGGAAAAAGAAGAAGAAGGAATTAGAGGATAGGTATAAATCACACACACACACACACACACACAGAGAGAGAGAGAGAGAGAGAGAGAGAGAGAGAGAGAACATCCTTTTCAGCTAGCACCCACTGAAGAGACATGAAAGCTTACATTGCATCTATCCTTTCCTGTTCCTAAGATTTACTCTTATACCACTTGGCCTGTTGGAAGGAATGAATGATCCTGTTTAAATGGACAGAAGTAACTCAAACACTAGCCAATTGAGTAGCAATTCTGTGACCAGTGTCAATCAGTTTATACCTTAGATTGGGGTATTATATTATCTACTATATAGACCAAAGCTCAGTTTTCTCTTCCTGTCTGGTCTGAATTATGTGATTTTATTTTAGATGTAACATACATTTTATTGAAATAATACCTGGAGATATTAAATTTGAAGTCGGATTTGGTATCTTTAAAAATCAAGATAAAATAGGATTAATAAAATAATATCTGCTTACATATATTACACATTATTTAATTAGGACAAATTCAATATAAATGAAACCTGTTATACAATGAATAGAGATCTGATGGGAATAGGGAGACTAAAGGGTTGAAAACATCATCGTGTGTTTTAATAATGTATTGTCATGTGACCCATTAATGTCTTAGGGGAATCAAAGATCAATAAATGACAGGATTTTTTTTCCTATGGAGCAGTAATTTTTATTTGCATATATATAATAGTTGTTGATGGTATCTGCAGCCAGATGCCTGGAAGAGGAAGTTGTTTCTCCCTCTTCTAGTCCCCAGGAGGCTATTAACTTTATACTGACGCAAACTAATATTTAGACACAATTCCCTAGCTCCTACGCAAAAATGTAGCTGTGCCTCTAGTCAAATAAAGTTAATATTTTTAAAAAACATTTCTGCAAGCAAGATATCATCAAGTGGGATCCAAGCACTTATCTTAACATTTGTTATCTGAGAGCCAATAACTGAGGCTAAGAAAAAGTTTCTCATTAAAACTATTAAAGTGACAACCTGATTAAGTGAAATGATATGTCTAAGTGCACCATGAATTATATGGACTATCGAGTCACAATTGCACATGACTCTGTCATAAAATAACTAACCATTCATAAATAACTTAGTATGGGAAACTTTGTGGATTCAGTAGTTTTCTATATTTGTTCACTTGGTAATCTTGAAAAATCTCAAAATCATGGTCATTTGAGGAAGAAGTTAATATTCCTATTTTATGGTTATCTCACTTCATGGATCAAGTTCAACAGTCATGATTGCAAAACCACTGAGAGTTTTTTTGTTTTTTTTTAACCACTGAGAATTATAAGCCTGTGTCATAAGTATTTCTCACAAGGCTGTCTTATAATACAAATGCTAGCCATAACCCTGAAATCCATAACTCTGTGGAATAGGAATGTTTCTAAACACATAGTGCTAATGCAGAGAGAGCCTAACTTAGACTCTGAACTGGCTCTGTCAGTAGTGCAATGATGGGTCATATTCATGATAGGTCGACACCTCAAGTTTCAAGTGCTTAAGGACTTAGCTATGATCAAAGTCACGCTGTACCTTAGAAAGGATTAAAAAACGTGAGACTCAGGGCAGACTTCTACTGGGAAAGAAAAAGGAGGAATCTTGAAAACTCAGGCCAGAATAATGAAAAAAAGAAAAGAAAAAGCCCCACTGACTGTACAACAACTTCAATTAAGGCAGTGCTCTCTCTCCCTCCCTTCATCACTCTCTTGCCTCACTGTTCATAAATATTTTTATGTTTATGAAATATACTGACTTTATTCTTAAACATGTATTAAAAATGAGAAAAATCCCAATACATCACATACTCCACAAAAAAAGAAAATTGAGGAACTCCTGGTAAAGGAAGACTAACATCAGATAAAGGAAATAGGTAAGTGATAGCATGCTCTAATTAAATTTATATTGAACTATAGTGTAACTTTAAGGACAACTGAACTCGAGTCCCAAAAGATATAAACACATGTAGACTTAAAAGGAATGGTGACATATATGTTGATCCCATTCATCAAGTTCTGTTTAGAGCTGAAATCAATAATAAGCAGGATTCTTCGTATCCTAAATATCTTTCTCAATAAAAGACAATAAATCTATCCCCTGGTATCACTAGATGAAACTGTATTATCTATAAATAGTGAGGGAAAGTTAAGGAAATGAGCCCCAATTCTAAAAAGTCCACTTACTACTTAGATACAGAATTTTTCCACAGTTTTATCTCTGTCTCCAAACAGCAGGGAACAATTTCTATCAAGGGATAGATGGATGAAAATTTCTGTGTCAGCTTGTGTTCAGGTTTTATACTGTGTGAGGCTTTATCAAATTATCTATGGTATATTGTCCCCAAATAATAGTGGTTTCTACTTAATGATTCATCTCAAAGCCCCCGTTACCAACGTGCTCCCAGGTGTCTACAGACACTTAAATCAAAGTATAATTATGTGGAATGGGTCAGATTTAGTAAATAAAATCATTCCACAAACCATTTCCAGCTCACTAAATGATGTATTATATCAGAATTATTGTGCTGCTTGATAAAGCAGGGAAATTGCCTACTGAAGTCACATCAATTAATGCAAAGCTCAGAATTCTTTGTCTCTTTAGCAGCTCAGAATGTCAGTTATTTTCTTTTAAATGATACATTATTTTAGTCAAAAATATAAATAAGAAACTTACCCAAGTTCTCTGATCAGGTAGTTGGAACTGGGAGCAAAATTGAAACAAAAACAGAAAATTACTTCTGTGCTGGTATTTTGATTGCAATCTATCCTTTGAGAAATTAACGTTTATAGAAATTTAGTAATTTTTGCTTATCATGTAACTGTACCTTGAGTAAAAAGACTTGGAAATGAAAATTAAATATTTTTACAGCACTCATGAGTTTCCTTTATTACAAAAATAAATTTTAGAATCACGTATATAAACCAGGATGCTCTTCATCCAAAGAAAGCTCCTCAACACCTCCTCCTTAACCTATCACAAGGGCAATATTTTTGTTTCACTCTCTGAAAAGCCATGGCCCTCAATTCTGCTTTCATGTATGAACACGAGACAATTTCCTACAAAAATGCAATCTGTTGCATCTCTATCATGACACTAATAAAGAAAATATATTTATTAAAATGAGAATAATTACATAACAAAAACATAACGTTCTTGGAAATTCAGTGCTTGACAGTAGGAGCCTTGGATCATTGGCAGTCAGAAATACAAGAATACCAAATGGAGGAATTAAAAAGTTGTATCTATTTGTGACAATACATGGTATTATTCATTAGTGTGGTATACTTCAGTGAGTTAAATGCTCTTCCAGCAGCACAAAGCTTATATCTTAAATAGTACCATTTTGTGAGGCAATATAGTTTATACTTCCCTACGTCTGACTACCTTCAATAAGAAAGAAATATAACAATAGGAAACACTTGCTGAAGGCACAATAAACTATGAATGGCAAAGGACCTGTGTGCTTTTCACATTAATGGGTAAATGACAACTTGGAAAAGCTTAACCATTCCTTGGAACGTAGCAAAGTGTAATCAAGGTAATACAAGTTAAAAGTACAAGCAAATGGAAGAGGGCAAGAGAAACAAGACAAATAACCTTCAACGCAGACCATAGAAGAGGAAACCTTTGGAAACAAAATTGTGACAATAACAAAAATAACAGCTAATGTGTGGCTAAATAAAACCAGGGAACAATAGCCTGTTTTACCACAGCATAGTCACCAAACGATTTCTATTTCAGATCAAATGCTATAACATGAATGTGAAATGCCCAGAATGGAAATCAATGAAATGGATATTTTGTGAAGATCCGTCACATACTGTTGCTTCTCTCCATCTTATCTATTTGTGGCCATCCTCTGTTTATCAAAATTATAATTTACACTAAACACCACAGGTAATTTTCAACTCTACATCCAAGGGGAATCTCCACAGTTGCTATTTCTTTCTTTTGTAAACTAGCAAATTCATCAGAGAAAAATGAAAGGCTAAATCATCCTCTGTTGGCCTGATAGAGCAGAAATACTTCAACACTAAATGAAGAGGGACTTAAATTCTTGATTGATCTCAATTTTGATATATTTGCTCATGTATCTTCTAAATATTCTGACAGAATTTTAAGATATTTTTGTCCCACAAAGCAGTAAGATAGCCTAATAACCTTTAATAAACTTTAATGAATATTTGTTGATATTTTCAACTATAACTGACTGAAACTGAGTCCTAGGGAGGGGTGTGCTGGTAAAATAATTACAAAATTTGGCTTCTCCATAGCATACAACTAGACCACACCTTGGTACATATGTTTCTATCTTGCCTAATGCAGTTAAGACTGTGACATCCTCTTTGTTGTGTGATAATCCTGAGAAATAGAGCAGAAGTTCATTTTCATTCTGAAGTAGAAGATCCAGTAGCCCATAGAGACACCTTCATTTGCTTCAATATACTTTAAAATAGAATGTAAAGCAAGGACTTATCTTCTCCAAACACTTACTTAGATATGAAACCATGGCAAGTCCCGGTGGCAGGGCTAGTTCTTATGTGTTGGCTCAAGGCAGCTCTTCCAGTAAGGTCATGCCAAGGACACAATAAGTATTTTCCCAAATACCCCTAGATTCATGGCACAGCCATGGTTTAGAAAGTAAGATCAGGGTATATTTTACTATAATTCTTTTATCTCCCCCATGGGATGCCTCTGCACTAATTCCCTCAGTCTCTCCATGAGGTCCTTACAGAGGTCAAGCATAGTTAGTGCTCAATGCATCCTGTATGTAAACCCTGACATTTGCAATTCTCCTATAAAGCCAAAGGTACTCCACTTATACCCAGAGAGATTAATAAACTTGCTTGAAGCCTAAGCATGTTTGCTAATTATAAGTAACAAAGACACCTTATGCATCAGTTACTCCTGGTCTCAAACCCTGAATTTTATCAATGGTTTCAAGATGAATCTTGAGGCTAGAATAGAAATGATAGATTATTATAAAAACTTTTTCTATAACTTTGGAACATTAGATTTAGATTTTCTAAAACAGACTGCTTTGAAGATAAAACTGGAGGAAGAGGGTGTGGTGGTGCATGCCTTTAATACTAGCACTCAGAGGCAGAGGCAGGTGGATCTCTGGGAAATCAAGGCCAGCCTGGTCCACATAATGAGTTCCAGACCAGCTGGGGCTACCGGGAGACCCTGTCTCAAAAAGACCAAAAAAATAGTAATAATAATAATCAAAGGATGAATGGAGCCTCTCCTGCAACAGGTTGCATTACAAACTAAAGCCGCCATACCTCCACAGTACTTGGGAAATGGTCTGTACAGTAAGCACCCTGAATTTCCTCCCTCCTCCTCTTCCCCAAAGAGCCCTGATACAGCCCCTTGCCCATCAAATACAATATTGACAGTGGGCACAGCAAGAAGAAACCTACTCCCCTACTCCAGAATAGCAGGGATTTGTTCAGACTTTGGGGAGACCCTAGGAGGGTCACCGAAAATGCATATTTTTGGTGATCACTTCTGGGTCCTAACAACAACACATAGTAACAGGCAGTTTGCACACTGAAAGGTTTCACTGTGAGAGGTCAGGAAGCACACTGCCCCTGCATTCCCACAGGTGAGCAGAGGGTCTGAATGAGGGAGCATTACTGCGCCCTAAGCACCCGGCATGCACCTCATCTATTTTGTTCATTGTTACCTTTAGGAATATGAAGACATAATACATTTCTTCATAAGATCTTATTAAGCATATATGCATGTCATATTTATAATACTCTCCTGAATATATGGAATTATTGGTAGATGAATTTAGTCATTTTATAAATCAGCAAATTTGCTTGAGTTAGCCAGCTACCTCTGAACTTTTAGAGTGGCACTTAGCATTCATGTCTCTCATTTACACATAAGAAAAATGGCAGATAGAATGAATTGTTCAAAGTCACTGAACCCAGTCCTGTTTTCTCCATTCTATCATGAACCATAACACTCAATTTTGCAGTGGTTAATTACTAGATTTTTTTTTTTTTGGTCTTTTTGAGATAGGGTTTCCCTGCAGCCCCAGCTGTCCTGGAACTCACTATGTAGACCAGGCTGGCCTTGAACTCAGAGGTCCACCTGCCTCTGCCTCCCAAGTGCTGGGATTAAAGGCATGCACCACCATGCCTGGCTAGATTTTTTTATATTAACAGAATATGCAAACATTTGGTCCTAGTAATTAAATGAATATAATATTATATCCTCATACATACTTTTACGTATAATTTGGAAAGAAGATAACAAGAGAGATGTATTTTTGTGCAATATCTGAGACACAGAGTATATTATATTCAGGTTTATTAACCCAGGAAATCTTTCAAGTGCTATTTAGATCAGTATAAATATAAACTCTTTGCTGATAAACATTTACTGCTTTAGAACCTGGTTCTTTTCATGAAGCAGTTATGTAAACAATGTCATTCCTCAACCATCCTATACAAAATCAAAGCTAGAATGTTTCTAAATTTTTTCCGCATAATCCTTTATCTCCTCAATCTGAACTACAGTGCAAAATTCGGAGCAAAATCAGATATTTCCCACCTAAACTAAAAGTTTGTATTTTAGCTTTTGTGCTCTTTTTCAGGTTTTAAAGAAGATACTTTTAAAAAGTGGAAATACAACAAGAAGAAAATATTTCTATCCCACGATGAATTTAATGTATTTATTTCATAAATTAAACACATTTTACAACATTCTTTATCTGAAAATACTATGACAGAATGACTTCATTTACTAAACTTTCAGGCACTTTCATAAAATCTTTGATATCTGTAAGGATCAGAGCTTGTATAGTTAAGCAAAATGAAGTAAAATGAAATGTGAATTAAGAAAGTAAATTGGAGATATTTGAGTTTGTCCTTTCAATACAATCCTCTAGATGTGGATTGGTATTTAAACTAATTTCAAAAATAATAATCGAATGGGTAGCAACACAGAGATGAACCAATGAGATAGCCCTGCTTAGTATGTCCCTTGCAAAGTATATATTTTGATAAATGGGTCTGGCTCCATTTAGTAAATAGTTCTGTGTATTGTGGTGAATTCTTGTGCAATTACAGAGCTTTTCTGGAATGCACAGTGGTCTCTAGATAAATTCCTTCACCCTCTATGGTAACAACTTGTCAGGTAGACTCATTTCCTGTTTTTATCTGAGCACTAAAAGAACAAGAATGACCTTCATGAGTTTGGGACGAGTCACAGTGTGATCCGTATCTTTATATCAGGAAACTTTAAACACAAAAGACAACTACAATATTTATTTCCTTAACTGAGTTCTGCTTACTCCAACATGCACTTTCGCTCAATAACTAGTTAATAGTGCATGATAATTTAACACCCACACTACATTATTTTTACACATATATTAATGATTTTTCTTTAAAAAGTTTGAGTTCTAGCTCTGTTAGCATTTCCTGTGTTCTACCACAGCGGCGTCATAGGAAATCCTAGTGTTCTTATGGTCTCTTTCATTTTGTTGCACCTGCTCATCAGGATCAACAAGCTAGTTTGGAAGCCGAAATCTCAAATTCAAAATACTTACTTGTGGGTGGAACAAGAATCCTGGAGAAGGTCTCAAGTATTTCTCTTTCAAAGCCTCAAGTGGGTCAGTTAGCTTTCTTTTCTCTACTCTGAAAGGTTAAAATTAGATTTTGGAGGTGAGTCATTCTCCTATAGCAATCACTACAAAATCGCTGGCATTCAATACAACAGAGTCAATGGGAATGTTCTGCCTGATGCACTTATATGAAGGCATCTGTTCCGTTCTGGAAGAATACTTCATGCAACTCTAAGTACTCAAAGGTAGAAAGTCCCCTTCACAGTGGAAAAATCCTGCAGGCTGACTAGTAATGGTGAAAAAAATGTGAGACCCAAGAAGTCATAAATTAGAGGGCTTGCTCACAAGTTTAGTACCTTTCCATATCAGAATAAAAGGCTTGGTGAGTTTGATATCATGGAGGTAGGCTAATTTTGAAAATTGAAGCCATTAAAAAATCCCCCAAGTAGTCACTCTATTTCCTCCAAATCTGCCCATTAGGGGCAAAGGAATTTTCAATTATCTAATTACTCTTTCAAGTTGATTCAAGATAATCCCGGGGGGTGTGTGTGTGTGTGTGTGTGTGTGTGTGTGTGTAGGTACATATGCTTGTTTATGCTCAG